CCTCCTCCTCCGCCTCCTCCCTCCTCCTCCTCCTTCCTCCTATCCTCCTGTCCTCCTCCTCCTCCTCTTCCTCCTCTTCCTCCTCTTTCTCTCCTCCTCCTCCTCCTCCTGCTCCTCCTCCTCCCTCCTCCTCCTCCTCCTCCTCCTCCTCCTCCTGATCCTCATCTTCCTGTCTTCCTCGTCCTGTCCTCCTCCTCCTCCTCCTCCTCCTCCTCCTCCTCCTCCTCCTCTTCCTGTCTTCCTCGTCCTGTACTCCTCCTCCTGAACATCACCATCACCATCATCATCATCGTCATCACCATCGCCATCACCATCATGATCATCAGCAGCAGCATCAGCATCATCCTGTCCTCCTCCTGTCTTCCTCCTGTCCTCCTCCTGTCCGCCTCACCATCATCATTATCCTCATCATCATCATCCGCATCATGATCATCACCGTGATCATCACCATCATGAGCATCATCATCAGCATCATCGTCATCATCAGCACCAGCATCTGCATCATCACCATTATCGGCATCATCATCACCACCATCATCAGCATCAGCAGCAGCATCATTTCCGAATGGGCAAGAAGAGATCCTTACCTGCGTGCCCAGCGCGCGCGCAGAGTAGGCATGCGGCAGACGACAACGCAGGGCAAGGCAGCACGCAGCAGGCGAGCAGCGGCGCGCGACAGACCGCCGGCGCGAGCGCGAAGCAGGCAGGCCGCGGCAGGCAGCAGCGCAGGGCGCCGGCGCGCGCGCGCACCCCGCGCTCGAGTCCCGAGCGCGGGGTGCACGCCCTGCGTCCTGCATAGAAAGCCACCAACCCTCGCAGCGCCGCGGCGAGCGCAGGCACCACGCAGAAGGGCACGGACCTGCCCACATCGCTTGCGGCGCGCCGCGACGCGCGCGGGCAATGCGGCGACACGGCGCTGTTCGCGCATGCGTCCGCCGCGCATCTCTGGGGCCAGCGAATGCGCGCGAAGGAACGAAGGGCCCATTTCGTCCCATGCAAAATGCACCTACGTAGACCTCCCCCGCCTTTTGTATGTCCCACGTTATCAGCTGCGCTGTTTGGGAGCAAGGGGTGGGAGGGGGAGGGGTGTGTAACACTACCGCTCAGCCGCGCTGTTTTGGAGCAAGGAGGGGGGGAGGGAGGGGGGGGTTTAACGCTACCGCCTATTTCTTTAATCGTTGATTTCCCACCCCCTTCAATCAAGGCTACCGCGCCCCCCCTTCGGCCAGCGCAGCCATCCTGCGCCTACCCGGGGTGGTCGGCTGAAACCAAGCTGCCGCGAGCTTAACTCCGCGCCTGCTCAGCCGCCGCCAGCCGCCAGTCGCCTGCTCTACCGCCGACGGCCGCCAGCCGCCTGCTCAGCCGCTGCCACTGACATGGCGTCGGGGAGAGGCTTCAGGTAGCTGTTGGACGTCCAGACGTCCGGCCCACGGCCTTCGCCACGACGGCCTTCAGGGCCTCCTTCGCCGAGACGACGGGGGGAGGCCTCAGGTAGATGTCGGATGCCCAGAGTCCTCGGACTTGCTCTCGACGGCCAGCAGGGTCTGATCCGCCGGGGCGCAAGGGAAAGGCTTCAGGATGCTGTCTGATGCATGTCCCTCGCCACCTGAACAGCTCACACCTGCTGCCGGGCAGATCGGAGTCGCGCGACTGGCAGGGCGCTGGCGTAGACGGAGCGCGCGCGCGCGCCCCAGGGAGGAGCGTCGAGCGCTGCGGGCCCCCTCCCTCTGCGACCTCTCCTCGCGTTGCCGCCATGGCACGAATACATGTTGCGAACACCAGCTGGGGAGACGCAGCCCTGCATCCATACTCTCTGTGTTTCGCCCCCCCCCAACTCCGACCCGCTAGCGCGCCCCTGATGCCCCATGCTGAGCAGCGAGCGTTACTCCTTCCACTGCCATTCTTCTGGCGTCCCTAACTTCGCCGCGCACGCCGGCTACCTGGCACGACGGCGTTCCCTGAAAATCGCTTGCGCTGATCCTAGCGTTGATTTCAAGCTTCGGCGTCCTGAACCGAACATGCCTGTTGCTACCGCTTGGCTTGTATTCTGGTGTCCGCACTGATCCCGGCGCTCTGGTCGGCGACGCTTGCCGGATCCAATGTTGTACGCCATGCCTCGCTGAACAACGAAAATGCACACTGCGATTGACACATCGTCTCGTTATCGCCTGTCCCAGCGCGGTGGCTGATGGCGCTTGGCCCTCCCCTTGCTCCCGATTCGCATGCTCTGCTTGCTGGGCCAGGTTGCCTGCTCCCGTCCGCCCCTCTTCTCCCTGCAGGCCTGGCCACACACGCGATCAATGAGAACACCTGATGTGGTCCAGGAGTTGCCTGCATGGCCGAGGCCCATGCGGACACAGCACCAGGCACCGTAAGAATGGCACGGCCACCGGCGCGGGCCAGAGAAGGGCCGTCGCGGAAGCTGACGGCGCACCGCGGCGCGCACGCGGGCGAAGGGCCAGACCAGGCGCCGCCGCAAGGATGTCGGAAGAGGCTGCTAGGCCAGGAAAAAAACTGCGTTCTCCGCAGCTGTTCCAGCCTGGCATGCAGAGCAAGGTCCGACCGACACCGTACCGCTGGGCTGCCTCGACAGGTTCCCGGACGGCGACAGGCAAGACACCCACCCAGAGCACAAGGGTAAACCAAGAGCGCGGCGCAAAATCCAGCCTGAATAAAACGGAAAAATGACCGAAGGCGCACGCAGCACGTACTCGCAAACCCCTCCCACTCGCATACTCGCAGCACGTACCTCCTCGGCGCCCGCACCGCCCAAAACCAACCGCCCACCCCGAGGGCAGACCCTGGACAGCGCTGTATGGCGGGGCCCTGGGCTGTGCACCATCGCGCCCCTGCACGCTGAGGCCCTGCCGACGGGGTAGAAAGGAGCGATGGGGGGGGCGAGCCCTGCAAAGCGAGCGCTGGAGCCGCAGACAAATGGGACGCAGAAGGACTCACTGGTACTATGTGTCCCCCTCGGAGGCGTGCGCACGACCCGAGCATGTAGTACAATGTTTGCGTCGGCGGCGAGGCAGGGGAAGTCTGCGCTAGCGGAAAGGCCTAAACGGGGGTGCCGTTAGAGCGAATTGTGCCACCATGCAAGCGGGGGAGAAGGAGGAGGTGCGGCCGAAAGAGGGGGTGGACGAGGCGAGCCGCTCAGGCATCCACTTCCCGGGGTGTAAAGCACGGGGGGAAAGACAGCTGCTGCGGAGTCACGATCGCGAGAGGCCGGGGCAATGGCATGCGAAAAACTGCACAGCTACCGAGGCAGCACAGGCGTGAGCGAAATGCAAGGAAGACCGAGGGGGCCAGAATAGCAAATTGAAGCGGACGGCATGAGAAACACACGTGCTTGGGAGGAGGGGCGAGGAGGGGGAGGGCCGGGTCTCTCTGATTCGGGACGCCGCCAAAGAATCGACAGCGGCTTTCATGATTCCCCACGCCACCCCGTCCAGAACGACTCTGTCGTAGCTGCAGCAAGCCCGAATATACGGGCGCACCTGGATCGAAAACCACATGGTACCATGCTTGCACGCGTGTGCTCGGCACGCAAAAGGTAGCGACACACCGCGACAGCGCTACGGCGCCATCCATGCGCAAGCGCTCAGACCCAATGCTCACAGCGGTCCCCAGGCGACGCGCGACGTCAGACACAGCAGATCACACTTGTCCAACAAACGGTCGCAAAGAGTAGACGAGAATCCAGACAGACTCCCCAAAACTTCGGGCGGCTGGCGCACTACTCCCACGGCACGCCAGACAGCATGGACATTTACAAGATCTAGCACGTTCGTTCCTCCTCCCCCGCCCTGAGCTTCACTTCTCCATTCTAAATCAAACCCGACCTGAATCTCGATGTCCTCGATTTCCTCCTCCTCCTCCTCATCATCATCATCATCATCATCATCATCATCCTCATCATCATCATCATAATCATCATCATCATCATCATCATCATCATCATCATCATCATCATCATCATCATCATCATCATCATCATCATCATCATCATCATCAGCTTCCTCCTCCTCTTCTTCCTCCTCGTCCTCCTCCTCTTCCTCCTCGTCCTCGTACTCCTTCTCCTCCTCATCATCGTATCATCCCCTTCCTCTTCCTCATCCTTCTCTAACTCCCCCGCCTCCCCCCTCCCCCTCCCCCTTCTCCTCATCCTCCTCCTCCCTCACCAGTCGGCCTCTGGACCTCTCCACGAGTGCAGCTTGACCAGAATATAAAAGTAAACCAACCGTGGCGACGAGGAACCTCCCAGATGCCCGAAAAGAGTCTTGTAATTAACGTAACGAAAATTCGGCCCGACCTGGATCCTCCAACCACGATCCTCCTCGAACCCCGATCCTCCGTCTCTCGGGTGCACGCTGACATGGATTACGAATCCGCGGATCTGCCGCGCGGGCGCCAAACCCACGGATCGGGGAGAGTGCCCCCCCGAAACGTGGCGCCAGCACCGCCTCGTTTGGCGGAGGAGCGAGTCGATCTCGCATGGACACGGAGCCCGTCGCCAATCCACGAGCCTTAACCCAGGGTTGCGCTTCCAGGTGTCGACATCCGAACCCTACCCCCACCAACCATCGATTCTTCTGAATCGATGGGAGGCGGGGCAGGGCTCGAATCTCGTCGCGTGCTCGACGAGGTCCGAGCCCTACCCCCCCCGCCCATCGAGCTGCCTGAATCCTTGGTCGGCGAGGGCAGGGGTTGGATTTCGCCGCCGAGTTTCCTCGATCGGCGGCGAGCGAGTGGGGGAAGTGAGAAGGAGAGGCCCTTTTCAGAAGGCCCGGAAGTACCCCGACCTTCTGAAAAGTGTTCTAAGCCACCCCCGATGACACAGAAAACTTTTCGGAAGGCGCGCGGACTTCTGAGAAGCCCCGCCGCACTCTGAGAAGACCTTCTCCTTCTCACTTTCCCCCCCCTCGCTCGCCGCCGACTCGAGCCCCGTCCCGCCCCGCAAGCGGCGCGGCGCCCCCCACCCCCTGCGCAGGCGGAGCCGCCGCCAGGGCCTCCCCGCCGCCGGGCCGGCGGCGGCACTCGTAGACGCGGCCGGAGGCGCCACGGCCTGCAGGCAGGAAGGGGCACTTGGAGAATCGAGGATCGAGGAGGAGGATCGAGGAAGTGGAGAGGGAGGATCGAGGATCGAGGAGGATCGAGGATCGAGGAGGATCGAGGATCGAGGAGGATCGAGGAGGATCGAGGAGGATCGAGGAGGTGGGGAGGAGGATCGAGGATCGAGGATAGAGGATCGAGGAGGAGGTGGGGAGGAGGGTCGAGGAGGATCGAGGATCAAGGATCGAGGATCGAGGGGAGGTCGGGTGTTGCTAGAAGTGCCCCTGGCCCAAGGTGCCCCCCAGGATCTCCAAGGAGGCCTCCACGACCTCCACATCACCCCTCACGGGGCCCAGAGGGCCCCAGGGGTCCAAAACTGAACAAAAAGCCAGGGGCACCTTGGGCCAGAGGTACCTTGAGCAACCCACGAAGAGGGGAGGGCCAGGATATCGATGTGCTGCCCTGCGACTCTAGTGGATGGACCTCGCACGGCTGAGATAATGACGGCCCCGACGACTTTTAGCTGGACGCTGTATGGCAGCCCTTCTCTTTTCGGAGCTGATGAGTCGGCTTTCCGAGATCTTCGCCCGAAGGGGAGGCTATGTATACTCCACGCCCCCTTCACTTATTCGGCTTCTCATTGCCAAGCGTGCTCCAGCTGCGTGCCTATCGGTCTTAGTTTCTGTCCCTCCGCCCCAGTCGGATACATGTTTGTTCTCTGCACCCGAATGAAACAGCTGTACAGCTTATGTCCGCACAATGTACAGAGGGGGGAGGACATGGATGTGTCGCACGAGTGACGTGATTGGAATGGGCAGTTCGAGGCTAGAGGATCGAGGTGCGAGAATCGAGGATAAAGGAGGAGGGGCAGTTCAACGTTCAGGGATCAAGGATGGGCAGTTCGAGGTTTGAGGATGGAGGATCGAGCATGGGCAGTTCGAGGCACCAGGATCTAGGATCGAGCATTGGGCAGCTCGAGGATCGAGGATCTGGGATCGACGATGGGCACGTCGAGGATCGAGAATCGAGGGCGGACAGTGTTTCGAGGATCGACGATCGAGCATGGACAGTTTCCAGGGTCGAGGACCGATCATTTGGGCGCTCCGTACCCCTTCAAGCGCCGACCTCTAGGGACCTCTGGAGACCTTCGGTGGCTTCTAGAGGGGCAGGCAACGCACGCCCTCCGCGATCGGAAACGCGCCCTGGCCACGCGCGCCTCCGCCTCTTTCCGGGCAGTGCACCTGGCCAAATGCCTGCAAGTGCTACTCGCAATCACGTTGGTCCCCCGACTCTCTCGGGCCCGCGGTGGCCACCACGGCTTCCACGGGAGTTCCTTGAGCCCGTCCGACCCCGCCGCTGGCTACCCCGCGCACACCTTTCGGAAGCACTCCTGGCATGCCCCTGACAAATCCGCGGCAACAAAAGGGGCGAATAGCTCAGGGGCTGACACTACACGTATTCGCTACGGGACCTCGCCGAACACTCGCCGCCCCACCTGGCGGAGCCGAGAGAGCCCGAGCGACTCCCTGCGACAACGGCGCGCAGCGGCACGCCACCGAGCTCGGCGGAGGCGGCAAAACGGCAACATCTCCCTTCGGCTGCTTTGGCCGCCCGAAATGGGTACGGAAAAAATGAATACGATGCCCGGCAACAAATAGTATCCAAAACCGACAGCGGTCGCTGTTGGGCAGGCGGCCTTCTGTCTCCAATGGACAACATCCGCGGCGGCAAGGGCAGCGAGCTCTGTCCAAAATGAGCAGGAACTGCTGTCGGTCTTCGTGCCCACTCTTTCCGTACCATTTCGACCGTGCCAAGTTGCGTGATAGTCGACCCATGTTTGACATAAACTGCCAACTCTCTGTCGCTGCGTTGTTACTCCTGAGCTACGTCTACATCACAGAGGCGGGGGGGGGCTGGAAATGGGCATGCCAATCCTTGAGACAGACCTTGCCCCGACTTGTGGCCGCCGCGATCGCCGCGGCGACCTCCGAAACCAACCCAGGGGCTTGGTTCGGGCTCGGATATCACGACACCTTTCCCCACGCAGTGTCTCTTTCGACAGAGGGGAGGGGGCAAAAATGGCGCCTATCTCCCGTCCGAGCCCGTACTCGCCAAACTCCGCTGGCGGATCGGCCTTCGACAGCAGAGACACCTACGGGAGCGAAGAAACAGATCTGAGCAAGAATTCAGTCAGCATTGCCGATGAGAGCGGCCTGCAGCAGAAGAGAACAGTAGGACCAGGACAGATCACCCGCGTTTCCGAAGTGCTGCCAGCTTCGATTACCAATTATTCAACCACCGCTATCACAAACCATAGCTTATAAGACTTAGTTGCACCATCACCTCAAAATAAGCACTAGCATTATAGATTAGCATGTGGCTGCAGATTTTAGCGTGACCACGTCTAAGTATGTAACATTCGGCCCACAACTTTTGCAGCTTCGCTGGGGCGATGATTTCCCAAAACGCGAAACGATTACATCCTAACAGCAGCAGTAAGACCAGGAGCAGCCCATCTCGGCGCACACACACACACACACACACACACACACGCGCGCGTGTAAAACAAGGAGGCGGCGACGACGTGACGACTCACGACCACAAGTGCAGAATCATACAGACATGCTCGAGCATTTACACATATACTTATACACGCGCATGCACACCCACCCGCCCACCTGCCCCCCAGCTTGCCAGAACCTCCGTATGCAGACACGCGAACACGCTCGCAAGCACTCGCGCACTCACAAACTATGCACGAGCCTGAAGCCCTGACAACATACAGATGCACGGAGGCACACAGCACTGCGAACGGCATGAATGACAGACATCCTCTGCGAACAGAACGTACACCACGTGAACAGAATGGACCGTCGTAAACAAAACACCCGTCTCTCTAAGTCGAATGACAAACAAGATAATGTGTACCACTGGAATGTGCAAAGGCGGGCTGGAGAGACATCAGTATGGCGACACTCTGGCGTGCCCACGTCTGCCGAAACCGCTACTCGAAGCCATGACCTGCCAGGCGCCGCTGCCCAATATTTGCACGCAAACGTCACAGAAGCGCAAATATTCGCGGTCCCACAGAATTGGGCACTGGCGGTGGCAGGGTAAGCAATAGCCAATAGCTACAGGAGGGTCGGACCTGGTGGAGCAAGCTTCACGGGCCATGGAAGGACGCGGCGCCAATGCAAGCGAATCCCAGGTTGGTCAACCCAATAGGACAACTGCGTCTGATATTTAAGGATTACGTATGTGGTGCCAGGCTCTGAGTTAGGTTTCTAAATTCAACCTCGCTGCGCACGCGAGGGCGGCCCTGGGCCAGTCCTGGACATCAGTGCCCACGAGGGTCGATGAGGGGCGCAGTCTGACTTTGAGGGGGGGTCCTAGAACTTCTCCGATCCCTCCCAAGTCGGCCCAAAACTGACCCAAGACGGCTGCCCAAGACCAGCCCACGACAGCCCCAATACACCACGAGACCCTTCGGATGTCTCCGAATTCCCGAAGATGCCCCCAAGAAAAATCGAAGAAGTCCCCAACAGACTTCAAGAGGCTATGAATATGTCCCACGACAAGCCCCTGCAGAGACCAAGAACACGTCAACGCTCATGGATTGGAACGGCTTCGGCTTACCACCCAAAGAGCCCGACGTGGTGTCCCGAGAGCCTTCGGAGGGTCCCTGGGCCGGCACCGACGGCTTCGCAGCAACCACAAAGACTCTCGGATAGCCCAAGACCGTCCCAGCCCAACAAGGCCCCAAGACCGCCTCGAGGCCTCAAGACGGGCCCAGGACAATTCAAGAATGGCCCAGGCCAGCTCTAAGACTCCGCCAGACGGCGCTCCAAACTTCAAGATGGCCCGAAGAACCTCCGAGACGGTCCCCGAACTCCCCAACAATGCCCGACGTCTCCTACAGGGGCCCAGGCTTGCCCCTCAGAGACTCCCCAGACGTCGAGCAGGCTCCTGAAAAGAAAAAAATCCGCCTGGCGAAGGACACGACCATATGCAGTTGTGAGTACCGCAGTTGTAACTATCGTCTTCGGTGGAGCCCCCTTGTAGGGCCACGAAACGCTGTACTGGGTGACTGGGTGTGGGAGACGCATGCGGGCTGCGCCACTGGAACCTTCGGTGGAGCTCCCTATGGGGCCACGAAACGCTGTGCTGCGCGGGGGAGACGCATGCGCGCCACTGGGACCTTCGGTGGAGTTCCCTATGGGGCCACGAGACGCTGCACTCGGTGGGGGACCGCATGCGGGCTGCGCAATTGAGAACTTCGGTAGAGCCCCCGATGGGGCCACGAAACGCTTCACTGGGCGGGGGAGACGCACGAGGGCTGCGCCACTGGGACCTTAGGTGGAGCTCCCTGTGGGGCCACGAAACGCTGCACTGGCTGTGGCGGACGCATGCGGGCTGCGCCAGTGTAACCTTAGGTGGAGCTCCCTATGGCACCACGAAGCAATGTACTGGGTGTTGCGGACGCATGCGGGCACCCCCACTGGGGCCTTCGGCGGAGCTCCTTATGGCGCCACAAAACACTGTACTGGGTGTGGCGGGCGCATGCGGGCACCCCCACTGGGGCCCTCGGTGGAGCTCCCTATGGAGCCACGGAACGCTGTACTGGGTGTGGCGGACGCATGCGGGCACCCCCACTGGGGCCTTCGGTGGAGCTCCATGGGGCCACGAAGCGCTGTACTGGTTGTGGCGGACGCACGCGGGCACCCCTACTGAAGCCTTCGGTGGAGCCCCCTATAGCGCCACGAAGCGCTGTACTGAGTGTGGCGGACGCATGCGGGCTGCGCCACTGGGGGCTTCGGTGGAGCTCCCGATGAGGCAACGGAACACTGTACTGGGTGTGGCGGACGCATGCGGGCACCCCCACTGGGGCCTTCCGTGGAGCTCCCCATGGGGCCACGAAACGCTGTACTGCGTGTAGCGGGCGCATGCGGGCACCCCCTCTGGGGCCTTCGGTGGAGTTCCCCATGGGGCCACGAAATGTGTAAATGGTGTGCTGCAACGGGTGATGACGATGATGATGGTGGTGGTGATGATGATGATGGTGATACTGATGATGACGATGCTGATGATGATGGTGATGATGGTGGTGATGATGATGATGATGGTGATGATGATGATGATGGTGGTGGTGGTGAGGATGATGATGCTGGTGATTATGATGGTGATGACGACGATGGTAATGATGGCGGTGGTGGTGATGATAATGATGGTGATGCTGATGATGATGCTGCTGCTGCTGATGATGATGATGCTGATGGTGATGATGATGATGATGATGATGATGATAATGATGATGATGATGATGATGATGATGATGATGATGATGATGATGATGATGATGATGATGATGATGATGATGATGATAGCGCTGTCCCCTGGGAAACGAAAGGTCTAGGTAGCCACATGCAAGCAGCCTGCAGCCTCTGCGCCAGCAGCTGGTGCGCCCCCAGCCACGGCCCCACGCCAGCGCCCTCTGCCGCGGCCAACAAAAGGTCGGCCATCCGGGCCGTCAAGGCACCTGACAACCGCTCCGAGAGCTTCCGCGCGAAGTCGCTGATGATGATGATGATGATGCTGGTGATAATGATGATGATGATGATGATGATGATGATGATCATGATGAAGATGATGATAATGATGATGATGATGTTGATGATGATGCTAGTGATGCTGATGCTGATGCTGTTGCTGATACTGATGCTGATGCTGATGCTGATGCTGATGCTGATGCTGATGCTGATGCTGATGCTGATGCTGATGCTGCTGCTCATGATGATGTGATGGTGATGCTGATGCAGATACTGATGATGCTGATGATGATGATGCTGATGATGATGATGATGAGAAGGAGGAGGAGGAGAGGAGGAGGAGGAGGAGGAGAAGGAGGAGGAGAAGGTCCTTCTCCTCCTCCTTCTCAGAAGGAGGGGGAGGGGGCAGCGGAGGAGTGAACGAGGGGACCGTCTCTTCAACGTGAGGATCCAACACCACAGGATGGTTGGGAACAAAGAAGTACAACGATGTTCAACAGGCAAGCCGCCCTGGACGGCCTCACAGTGGTACAAGAAACCCTCCAAAACAGACCCGCAGGCGACCCCAAGACAGCCTGACACCGCCCCAAGTCAGCCTGAAGAAGACCCCAAGATGATCTGAGGGCCTAAGTCCAACCAGCACACCCCCAAGACCTCTCCAGATTTCCTCAAAATGCTGTTAGATGGACCAGTCATCTCCGAGAACCCCAAAGCCCCCAGCAGACTCTCAGCTAGCGTGCAAGACGGCCGCGAAGCTCTGGACGCCCCGACTCTCGGGCGCACAAAACGCAGGGGGGTAGCGCACCAAGACTAGCGACAATACGAGAACGGCGCCCGTATACAGTACCATGTTTAGACGTCCTTCAAGCTCCGCTCCAACGCAATACGGTGCAACATTGTTCTGCCTTGAGGGCTGAGAAACTAAACACCGTGCAGGTCATGGGTCGAGTATCGACGACGCCTCGGGAGACGCCAACGTGGTACGGTGCACACAAGTCGTGCGAGGAGACAAGGCCAGAGCGACGTGTCAGGCCAAAGGCAAGCCAAAACTATTCCGCCAACCACCAGCTCCATCGAAGGAAAATCCTGCACCCTGGCCGCGACGCCTCTGAACAGAGCGTCTCGCACACCCGGTGTGCAAGCGGCCTCTGCCTGTCGCAAGATCGCGTACCGCATGCACGAGAAGCTGCGCGGCAGTCCCGCACAGCGGCGCCAGCACGACAGAGCGCACCCTCATCTCCACCCTGGCTGAGCACCGTAACAGAGGGAGGGAGAAGGGCAAAGGGGAGGGGGACGAGGACTCGGACTGTGGCCTGCCTCCGAAGAGGCAGGTCCAAGAGGAGAGGAGCAAAAGACGGCCGCGCTCAGAACGAGTCGCTCGCACCAAGCGGGCCCCAGGGCAAAGGAGTGCATGTGCCGCAAAGTGGGCCAAGGGGCAAATGAGAGCGGGAGGGGGTGGGGGACTGGGAGGTGGGGGCGGGGGATGGGGAGGGCGGAGGGGCACCATCCTCGAGGGACTGCACCCCGTCGGGCTCCAGCGACAGGAGCAGGTGGCCCCACAAGGAGCGACTCTGCAAGCACACTCCTTGACCACAGCTGGAAAGATTCTCCGATGTTTGATTCCTGGTCCTCCTCGTCGTTCTCCTCCTCCTCCTCCTCTTCCTCCTCTTCCTCCTCCATGACTCTCCCTTATAGAGAATTCCCCCCTGTCGCACCCCGAGGCCGGTCGAAAGGGCGGGCCGGGCGTTTCGCCTGAGACTTCCTCACCACTTATAACCCTGATGCTTAAGAACTGACAACAGTTTCACACATGGAGGGCGGGTCGTTTTCAAATGTCGCTCTCGCCTTAGCGCCGCGCACATTCGTTGTAAAACTTTGCAGGAGTTTGACGGATTAAGGGCGGGGCGTTTTCACAATGTGGCTCTCGCCTTAGCGCCGCTTACATTCGTTTCCACAATTTTCCAGAGCTTCACGGATTCAGGGCGGGCCGTTTTCAAAATCTGGCTCTAGCTTAAGCGCCGCGCACATTCCTTTTAAAAATTTGCAAAATGTTGACGGATTGAGCGCGGGTCGTTTTCAAAATGTGGTTCTCGCCTTGGCGCCGCGCACATGTTCCCAAATGTTGCGAGAGCTTCACGGATTGAGAGCTGCGACTTTTCAACATGTGGCTCTCGCTTTAGCGCCGCGCACATTATTTGTAACATTTGCCAGACCTTCCCTGACTCTCATTATCTACTACCAAAAACGGGGTGTTGGAACGATTCAGGGCTGTCAGGGCGCAACTGTTACGTTGACTCGCGGTGTTGAAGTCCAGGAGCGGCATTATGGCACGATTCAGGGTCACCAAGATGCAACTGTCAGTCTAAATCGTGGCGTTGAAATCCTGAAAATGATGTTTTGGCAAGCTTCAAGATATTCATACGGTTGGCCCCCAACGTGACAACTCTCTCAATGGAGATGATCCCGTGTAGGGGCCTATAAAGAGGGATCTTGCAGGGAGAGTGTATTTCAACATCGTAGATGAGTCTTGGGTTTACACTGGTCCTCCTCCTCCTCCTCTTCCTCCTCCTCCTCATCATCATCATCCTCCTCGGCTGTGTATTCCAACACGTGGTGGCGCCGACGGTATGATTCAGGAGGGTTGCGGTGAGCAGTCCACGGTGAATCACATCAGAAACCACGCGTGGCCTTGCCGACCAGCCTTCGCGGCCTTCAGGAAGCTTGGCCGTTTTGCTTGAAACGCTATCACGAAACACTATTCGACAGAAAGGTGGGTTGCTACACGAGCAGCGGACATGCGAAAAGAGAGCCAGCAGTGCACACCACAGCGAGAAGTGTTGTCAGGCGCCTGCGCCGCATCATCAGGGCTCCTGCGCAAGGGATGCCCGGCGTCGCTCTGAGCACCCCGAGATCTGTCCAACCATCGCCATCCCCCTTCTGTAGATCTACTTTCCCTCGTTCGTCCTTGCTTGCCTCCTACCCCTCGTGGTCCCTCCCAATTGACTCCTCCTCCTCCTTGTCCTCCTCCTCCTCCACTTCGTCCTCGTCCTCGTCCTCGACCGCCTCCTCCTCCTCCTCCTCCTTCTCCTCCTCCTCCTCCTCCTCCTCCTCCTCCTGCTCCTCCTCCTCCTCCTCCTCATCATCATCATCCTCCTCCTCCAATTATGTGGCCATGTTGGCTCAAGGTCAAAATTGTGTCCATGTCACTGCTTAAGTGGGATAGTATCCCACTGCTTTCAGCGACCCTCGATCTAGCAGCCACACCTAGGGGCGAGCTGCCGCCCAACTCCTCGCTCGCAACCACTAATGGGGGCAAGTTGTCGCCCACTTCCTCGTTCGCAGCCACTCCCAGGGGCGAGCTGCCGCCCAGCCCCTGCAAGACTGTCCTGGTTGTGGGCGCGCCCCCAGTCGGCGCAATGGCGGGCGGCCGTGGCGCAGAGGGCGACGCAGCAGCACCTAGCCCACAGACACGACGTGGACGAACTGGTGACAAACAGCACTTGTACCAATACACTATTTGCAAGCAGTGCAGGATCCGTTGGACATGGAAGGGTAAGTCGGAGTCCTTCCCGCGCGGGAAATCCTTCGCGCCGTCCCCAGCCGAGCATCGCCAGCCTAGCGGAGCGTGGGCTGGGAGTACCAAGCCGCCCTGGCATGGACTCCAGCAAGCCGCTGGGGCTGGGCCCCCCAGCAAGGATGCCATCTTCGGAGCACTCAAGACCCTCCTGAAAGACGAGAAACATGGCGACCTCGTCGGACAGCTCAAGGATGCCCTCCAAGACCCAGTCAAGCCACAGCCTACGCGCACAGCGGAGCAGGCATTTCAGTCGACGCTCTAAGTCCTCACCGACAGGGAGAGAAGTTCCAGCAGACCACCGACGAGGTCGCCGAGGCGCAGCAGTGGCTCAACGACGCCAACGCACGTCAAGAGCAAGCCGCCCTCGACCTCGTCCAGGCCAAGAACGCCTGCGCCAAGGCACAGGAAGATCACAGAGCCAAACTTGCTGGAGCAGCTGCGCGGGAGCTGCAGCCCCAGGATCACGAGACACATTCACAGTCGACAGCACGATCTGGGACGATCTCATCCTCTACGATGACACCACCAGGGCCCAGATGGAGGAGTAGAAGCGGGAGATCGACCAACACGTCAAGGCCCTCAACGACGGCCAGGAGCACGTCCGCAAGATCTTGCGCAAGGCCTAGGAGTCTCCCGCTCAGCAGGCCGCTGACGCACCTTCCCAGGCTGACAGGAAGGCTGCTGCCACCCTCATCGAGACCGCCTCCAGGGCCAACGAGATGGCACGCGCGGTCAAGGGCGGCGGCACAGGCAAGCCCAAGCAGCAGCCAGCCACAGCCGCCGCGGGATCGCAGCAGCCCGGGTAACCCCAGCAAGGACACCAAGGCCCAGATCCTCTTCGGCATCATCACCGAAGGGGGACCGCAGGCCGAAAACTACTGCCGCACCAGCGGCCACAGCCACCACCTCACAGCTCATGCGGAGACCCACGCGGACGCGAAGGGCGCCCAGGACCAAGTCGGGAAGCTCACCATGGACGGCTGGAAGCTCGCGGGTACACCGGCCATGCCGACCCACAAGTCGGACAAGGGGATCCACGGTGGCGAGTGGATCCTCCTGCAGAACCGCCTTCCAGGCCTACCGGGAGCTCTACCTCAAGCGCTACATGAGGCAACCGCTCGTGGGCTTCACGCCCCCCATCTTGCGCACGAAGAGCGGCGACATCGCGGTTGTCGCGGCATGCCTACGGCCTGGATTTGGCGACCAGGGCGCGCACAGGGACATCCTCATTTCCATCTCCACATTCGTGGGCACGCTCAGCGACTCACCTTGGCCGACTGGAACTACGAGCCGCACTGGTGGGACGGCAAGCCGTGGCTTTCCAGATGAATCGGCACCATCCTCACCGACACAGAGTGCAAGGCCACGTGCGACACGGGATCCGGCTCCGTCTACGACTACGCCATCGCGCGAGCAGGCCTCGCCACGCAAATCGACGCGAAAGCAATCCATAACGCCCCGTGGAAGACCCACTGCGGCATCCATGTCACCACGGGCACCGCCGAGCTCTGGAACTACCAAGCTACGACGATCCCAAAGCCCCCCTTCCCGAGCCAGACCAAGAAAGGTCGCCGACCCTGACAGTAAAAGGTCGAGGGCTAGGGCAGAGGCCTTGCGAACCAGGAGGGGCAGGTTACCTGAACACCTACGCGACGAGTTCGATACCCTCCACAACAACGACGAAGACACCGCGGACCCCAACCCCGCGCCCTTCATCATCAAGGTCGACACCTGTGTCAAGGCCGAGGAGGCCGCGGGCAACTACCCGAGATTCCAAGCCATCTCCAAGGATGGCAGAGGGCACATCGTCCACCGGCACTTGCCGAGCAGGGCCACGGAGATGAACAGAACCTATGCAAACTGGGCCGCGACCCTCGAGAACGCGTTCTGGAGACCCACGCCATCCCTGATGAGGAGAGGGCCAAATACCTGGGGAGGGCCGAGCGGTAAAAGACGGCGAAACGGACTATGAGGGCCTCACCTGGACGTGCTCACCGCAAAGACCCAGAGGCGGCCTGGTGGCAGCACTTCAGTAGCCTCACCACGCGCTGCACCGCCCTCGCCAAGAACCGGAAGGGCCTCAAGACCCAGGGGCAGATCCGCAGCCTCATGAACCAAAATATCGACCAGCTCGAGAACCCAGATTTCCAGAAGAACCATTTCGGCTCCAACACCGACCCGCAAGTGATAGACGAGTGGAAGCTCCAGACCACCTCCACCAAGTTCGTCGAAGACAACGACCTCCACTGCCTCTGCGCGGCGACCAAGATGGACCAACGGAACGACGGCGAGAGCTGCAGGCAGAGCGCGCAAGCGCTACCTCGACAGGTCCAAGCAGGCCTGGAAGGAGGCCCCTGGCAAGCTGCACCACACCGTCGTCGATCCCAGCACGCAGCGAATGGAGACAACGAGGGGCCGCACCACTTTCGGGGCCCCTACCTCGCGATGAGCACCGCGGCCGACAACTGGAGGGAGATTTGGAAAACCAACTCCGACGACCAGAAGCAGATCATCGCCGCGCACGCACGAGGACGCCGTGCGCCTCGCCAAGGAGTACCCGCCCCCCCCCCATAGAGGCATAGCACATCCACGCGGTCTTCAACAACGCCAACCCCAAGAAGGCCAGGGGCGTCGACGACATCGAGAGGCGCCCGAGCCAGAGCATCATGCAGCTGGCCAAGATCTCCAACGAGGTGGAGGACCACGGGCTGGGGCCGCAGCAGCTCTGCGCCACCATTGGGGCCATGGCCCCGAAGCCAGCAGGAGAAGAGCTCACCCTAGGCATGCCCCCCACCACCCCGAAGGCGCGGAGCAAGACGCGCCCCACCATCACAGACCAGTGGCCCAGAGAGCTCGGGGAGTTCTGGGACACCGCCATCAAGGGGTCCAACGCGCTCAGGGCGGCGTGGGTCAGGGCGATACCGGACGGAACGGGAGCGGTGTGCGGCATTGCCTTCGCGACGCCCCTCATGGACGTGGAAGAGTTCTACGACTCGGCCAGCTTCGCCCTCCTCCTCTGGGCGGCCGTTGAGGAGTGAGTTCCCGCCGACCGCGGTAGCTCTGGAGGCGCAGATCTTCATCGCCCAAGGGCACTTCCGCATGCGCGGCTGGGCGAGCGACATCATAGACCCCCTGGTGCCCATCGTCGCGGGCAGCAGCCAGGGAGGCAAGCAGGCGAAGGTTTTCCCGGCCCCATCTTGCTGCTCGCGCACCGCAACTACGCCCACGCGGGCCCGCGGACATTCGTGGGCGAGACGGCGGCCAGGACCGAGGGCGAGCCCAAGCAGGTCACCAGCGACCTCATCGGCATCGCCACCGCCCCATGCAAGGGGATGACCGCCGCGGAGCTCAGGGCCCCCCCAAGACCACAATCGCGGCAGCAAGCCCCTCCATCGCGCTCGCGGTCCACGCGGGCCTCAAGGCGAAGGGCTACCCAATCAAGGTGGCGAGCTCCTCCCTCGACCTCGGCATCGACGCGGCAGGAGGCAGGCGACGCGTCGCGGCCGAGGCGCCCCCACGGGCGAAGAAGGCGAAGAGGCGCAGAGGCCGCATCATCACAAAGATAAGGAGGCACGCGTCGCTCGCCAAGATCGCGAAGAGACCATGGACCACAGGGTCCGGACCGCAGGGCACCTACGGACACCAGATCACGGGGCTCGCCCCGTCCGCCATCTTGGACCAGAGGCGCCGAGCCCCCCAAGCTATCGTGGGCAAGGTACCTGGAAGGTGTCTCAAGACCGCCATGGCCGTGGCCCCCGGCCAGAAGGACCCCACCATCGAGCTCCGGCGCCAGTCCACAGAGTGACCCAAATTCTGGTTCCAGAACCCGCGCCACCACCTGCACGTCACCCAGGCCTGGAAGCTCATCCACCAGAAGCCCATCAGCCTCGGGAACGGGAAGTGGCACAATGTCGCGGGCCCCATCTCCGCGACCCAGGTCATACTCATGGACGCGGGCTGGAGCTGCCCACTCCCGCATGAGTGGTCGCGCGCGCCTCACGAAGGTGAACCCGCAGACCAGACGCGGTTACTCCCTCACGAAGGCCAAGAAGCCGATTGGGAGGTCAAGCGCTACGAGGTTGACCCGTCGGAGGTTGCCCATGAGTTCTGCCAGACCATCGAGACGGGGCTGCGGGGCGCCGCAGCCAAGCACCTAGATGGAGATGGGCCACAGCGAGGTGGCCCCGACGTGCACGTTACGAGCCACGAGGTGAAGAGGCTCACGAAGAAGCGCCAGCTCGACCACGTGGGCCCTCAACCTCTGCGTCGCGGCAGGGCCCCAGCGGCTGCGGG